GGGGGTGGGGGGTGGGGGAGAGAGAAGTTCCTCTGGCAACATGAGCAGAAGGATTTGGGAAGCGGGAAGGAGGAACAAGCTGGTAGGAAGCTGCTGGCACAAACCCTGAGAAGTGATGGAGAGGAGCGACGTGGTCACAGCTCATCTCACCTCATCAGCCACATAGCAACTGGTCTACCTACAAGGCTAGTGCGGCAAGGTCACTCTTGCACTCACCATGCTCCGGGGTACCCATTACCTCCAGCTGCAGTTTTCCAGTCCTCGGCAGGAACCTGGCGCACGGCACAGATAAAGGCGGAGCTGCCGTAGGATGGGAGCACAGCCACTCACATCTCTAGCCAGGAACTGCTTTTCTACCTTTGTACCCGCTCCGCCCCCCCTTGGAGCCAGTTTCAAGCTACTAACGTGGAACTCAGGTCCGGGAATCCATAGCAGGGTAGAGACGACACACGCGGTTGTTCCTCCTGGCACCAGCCGAGTCTCTACATACTGAAACGGCTCCCTCAACAGACGTGCTGCGGGCCACAGCGCGGTGGTTGTTCCTGACATGCCCTACGCCACCCCACCCTCACTTCCTTCGAGAGCCTGCTCAGGCGCACCTCCAGGACACCCTCCTGGATGAGCTCCCCCAATCCTGTGCCCGTGTTTACATTCATTAATGACAGAGAAAGCATTTTGGGAGCCGTCTCCCCTGTGAGGATCCAAGTCTCCGCTGTGATTTTGTGCTTCACAGTGCCTAGCACATAGTAGGTGTTCAACAGATACTTGTACTGACTCAAAAATATCGAAAGGAGCCTACCTATGGAAGTGAGGACTATGTGTCCTAGTTATAGATTCATTACGAAAGGCCATCGAAGCAATAATGCTGGATAGGTTTCATCTGAGTGGATGTCACTTATATTTTTTGATCATGTTAATAAGTAAGACGCATGGTGAACGTCTGGTCTGGAGCAGAGATGGGTGTGAGCGCCAATCGGCTCTTAACCTGAGGACTCTCAGAGCCGGGCGCAGTCAGGGCTCAGTACCTCAGGTCTGTTTTGAGCAAAGATGCCGATGAACTGATCTGGAGAAGTCTTGAAGCCCTTCTGGATGAGCGCCGAGCCTATACATTCGGACAGTTCTTCCACCTGCAAGGGGGAGGAAAAATCAGCAGCAGTGTCAGGCCCACCCAAGGAGCAGGCCGGCACCCACAACCCAGGCGGCATCTCAGCCAGCTGACCACTCTGCAGAGGAGAGCGTGAACAAACAGGTTTTTGGTGAAATTCTGTGTTTTCGCACCAGAATTCACAATTAAGAGATGAGATCATAGGGTTCCTTCTGCAAAGCAAATGAGTACCCTCCAATCATGTGGGTAAAGATGATTACATGTCAGGGTTCCTGATCTATTCTACTTTACACTTCAGTTCTATACAATTACAAAAGTAATGTAGGAACAGAGAATTGTAAAGAATATATATAAAGAGCAGCAAAGCAGTCCAAACTTGTTACATTGGTATAAAGAGACACACAGTAAGTTTTGGGGAGACCTTTAATAACAGAAGAAGCTCTTATCGTTAGGATCTACCATTCCAATCTTGAAGATACATTCTTAGGAAATAATTCAGTCTTAAAAGGAGGTTTTAAAAAACTTTACGTAGACAGGGAATTTCAATAAATTCTCAAAGAACAGAAAAAATCTTTATGTAAAGATATTTCAAAATTATCTGAGGCCACAAAGAGGGAGAAAAGATCAATGGCTGGTTGGTTAAGTAAGTGAGGAAAATTTTAGAAGGTGCTTCATAGCTAATAAATATTACAATTAAGAAAACCCTATCAAACTTAGGAGCAAGCTGTAACAACACTAAGTAAAACTAACAAACACAAAATAAGTACAACATGCACACTATTGCTGACATGGAGGAAAAACAGGCCGGTTCATAAAAATCAGGCAGAACTTACCCAGCCCCTCTGTGCTCGCCACTGCTATGCCCTACTTAACTAAGAAGAGTTTCCTTTATCTTAAAATTCTGTTTCAGTCTCAGGGGATGAACTCTGAAGAGCCCTTTAACTCACGCCCATGCCCAAGGGAGGCAGAGCCACGCCTGCCACAGCCCAGAGCCCAGCTGCCCTGGCTCCTGGCGCCATCCTGGGCCAGCCTATGGGAGTGCGAGCTGCCTGGGGGAGGGACAGCAGGAGAGCACCCAGGAGCGTGTGCCCGCACACCCCAGCACACCCACGACTGACTGAGGGTTTCACAACTCTGGCTGGCGGAGGGAGGAGAACCTGTCCACAGAGCTTACTTTCTACCTTTAGAAAGAGGAGCCACACCTTTCTTCCAAGCCACTCAAAAGGACTCCTGGCTCCCAAAAGGTCAGAACCATGGGGGGGATAATGAAAACAAAGACTGAAAGGTATAAGTTGGCTTCAGTTCAGTCCAGCTGTGTGTGGCCAGGGCCTCTGAGTGAAGCGTATAGCTCACAGATCAATCACCTGAGTGGTTTTTAATCTGCTTTGAAAAATGCTCTCGGGAATGGCTGCTTCCTCTCCTCCAGCCAAAGGAGACATCTATTACAGGAATATCCTGTGTGGAATGTCCTGGCGCCTCAGTGTCACCGTGCATGGAGGGATGCATGAGAACTAATCTGGGCAGCCTACCCACCATCCTGCCAGGATCTGTGCCCAACATACATGAAGCGTTTTTACACCACTTGTAACAATGTGGGATCTGGGAAACTACTGTTTGGGTGGGAAACCAGTAGGCTCTGAAACGGGAATCTCTCTGGTCCCCCAGTGACAGCTAAGCTCATTGCTCTACAAGCAAGGTATGAAAAACTGTTGTCCTCTTTGTTCTTTCTCCTGAGACACATCAGGGAAAGTCTTGCATTTTGTTGATCTGCAGGTGAGGAGCAGGAAGGACACACCTTACCCCTTACGGTGGCGTTATTCCCTACAGGGGAGTCTGGCTTCGTGGCTGCTACGGAGAGGCCCCTTCTCATACAGAGCCCTGCACACAGCCACTCCTAAGGCGCCTTTCATACAAAGCATGGGAGAAGGAAGTTCGTTTGTACTCGGGAATGCCAGGGGTTACCTGGCCCGAGAACAGGGAGCTATTTCCTGAACAGCTGCACTGGAAACAAAGGCAGCACAGCGCACACTTGCAGCTGTTCCTGAAGGTCCTCAGGGTGCTACGGGACCGAGGAGAAGCATTGACATGTACTGTCATCATCACGCTAACTAGGAAAAGCAATGCCTCCTCGCGCTGCTACCCAACATTCACAAACAACTCCCTAAACAAGTGGCGCATGGATCAGCTGGGCGCTGCAGGGTGACAGAATCAAAATACGCTTCCTCCCAGCTTCCTTTGCATTTAGAAGCAGCAAAGGTATCTTCCAGGAGCATCTGTGCTGCTCTCTAGGACTGCCATGAGGTTAAATGTCACACTGGTCCCATGTGGGCCAGGATCTGTGGGATACCAGAAAGCATACCCTCATCTCTGATGCTGGTTCTGTTGGGCAAGTCCCATCCCTTCCTGGGGCATGTTTTTCTCATCTATAAAATGAGAGGGTTGCTCTGCATGGAGGTCTCTACGTTTTTCTAGCATCCCTCAAGGCTGAGAGGTCTAGGAGAAGAGTCTTCTGCTTCACGTACATTTCTAGAATTTCTTCTTAAATATTACCCTGTGTTCAAAAAGATTTTTAAAGAAAGTGTCATATGAAACAACTATATGACATGGTGGGAAGGGCACAACGACAGAGACAATAAGATCAGCGGTTGCCAGGGCTTGGAGTGGGGGAGGAGGGTGGTGGCAGGGTGGAACACAGGGGATGGTCAGGTACTGCACGGAGGACAGGTAACACGGCATATGTCTGCACAACATGGGGCAGCCCCTAACGGCCTTGAATCATAATGTATCGATATTCATCAACAAATGACACTCTACTCCATAAGGTGCCCACATCAATTCTACAATAAAGTGCATTGTGCCGTCAGTTAAATTGCTGAACTAGTTTCCCCCAAATCTGTCTGCGCATCATCTCCACCTGGGTATGGCAGATTGGTCCGAAGTTCTGAACTGGTCCAACACATGCACACTGCCGACACCTCCCCACCCCCACGCTCCATGACCCTGCGAACACTTTCATGCACTGGGAGCCGGCCTGGGTAGTGCCCAGAGGCAGAAAACCCACCTGCTTGTATGAAAGCCATTCGTAAGGTTTGTCTGGTTTCCGAGAGCCTAAACAAGGGCCGTTATCTAAAAAAGAAAAAAAAGGACTTAACATGTGTAAACGGCTCTAGATTCCCATTTGTATCCCAGCTCAAGCCGCGGCATGACAAGTAGGCTGTGCTGGCTCCCATATGAACCACAGAGGGTTCAGGTAGGAAGCGGTTCTCTGGGGGGTTGATCTGAATCTTTACTGGCCTGCTTACTCTTGTTTTGATTCCTTTAGTGAAGCAGGAGAGGAGGGTAAAGAGACAAACACAGTGCAGAAGGTCATTCAAGCTGGGGGATCCCTCTTCAGCTCTCAAGGAGCCAGTGGCTGTAGGCTTTGACATGTCCAAAGAAATATAAAGCCTTCTAACTCAAACTATGAAAAGGAAAATAGAAGCTGTAAGTGTACAAGTTCTGATGATCCAAGGGATCAAGAATGCCCCAGAATTTTAATTCTGCAAGTGAAGTCGTGATTGCAGAGAAACAAAAAGCAAGAAAAGCAGCAAAATGGAGGAAGAAGAAAAGGCGCTTATGAAAACCAAAGTCAAGAAATAGCAGGATGCCAGCTGAGGTCCCCACCAAGCAGACAGGCAGAAAACCCGCTATTAATTTTCTACACTCAAGAGTCGCAGGAAAATCAAGAAAACGCCTGATCATTTATACTTAGAATTAACAAGTTCTTGGTACAGATTAATCCCAAGCTGACCTTTTATGTTCAGCTAAAAAAGAAAAATATAAAAAAGCTGCCCCCTCTACAAGTCGACCCCCGATACAAGAGCGTGTGGGACGGGCCTGCATAGCTGCTTCTAGGGACACCTCAGGTCGGGTGCCTCCTCAGCTCCCGTCTGGCTGGGGTGTCTGCATTTTTGCTCTGAGACCCTACACTGGGCAGGCCATTCTTGGGCTGAGTGTCAGAGGAGCGTGCAGATCAGGTTTGGGGACCTTGAGGAAGAGGCGGGAAAGGAGAGAACGGCTGCATCTGGGGCCCCAGACACGGAGTCACTCTCCAGATATGGGAAGCGTGATGGTGGTATAGATTCAAGAGTCCGTTATGGGGGGCTGGGGTGCACAAGCTGGACAAAGCCCCCCCCCCTTCCACTGACTTCCTGATGCCTTCTAAAGCAGTGCTGACAGAAACACAGACTTTTGAGCCAAGAGGCTGATCCTCAGACCGTCTACATTCTTAGGGGCTAAAGTAAAAGATAGGGTGGAACATGACAAATTCCTTTAAGTAGAAAAAAAGTGCATTAGCCATGTGAAGTCATGCCATTTATTTTATTCCTTAAGAACAGGAACTGGCAAAGTACGGCCGGGGGCCAAGTCAGACCTGTCAGCTGTGGTTGGAAGTGCAGTTTTACTGGAACGCGGCCACACTGGCTCATTTACATATTATCTGAGGCTGCAGCCAAAGAGTTGCAACAGAGACCATATGGCTCAAAAGTCTAGAGTATTTACTATCTGGCCCTTTACAGAAAAAGCACAGATGCTAGCTCTCTAATGGTGGAAGTTAACTCCCAGGCTCACTGGGGAACGTAAAAGATTCTACTACACCAAGGTTCTTCTAACAAAAATTCTCAACATAAATGGACAGGCAAGGGGCCTGGGCTTTAGTATTTTTTAAAAGTTCCCCAGGTGACACTCAAGGCCAGCTAGGAATGAGGATGAACAATCGGTACAAATGACCATGTTGTGTGTGTTTTTTTTTTAAAAGATTTATTTATTTATTCATACAGAACTGGGGTACAGGCCAGAGATGCAGAGGGTGAGAGGATTCACCAGAGACAGAGTGGGGAGCAGAACAGGCAGATCGACGAAGTACACTGCTGAGGGGAGCAGTGGGCGGGTCAGGAGAGGTCTGCCACGCCATGTGGATCTCCGGGGCAGGTGGGGATTGAACTCATGAGGAAATGGCTTAAGCCATTTAGTGCAGTGCTTTAACCCGCTGAGCCACCAGGGAGGGCCGTGTTTTGTTTTTTAATGTTAGGTTTACAAACTACACTGACTTTTCCCAGTATCCAACAAACTCCAAACTTTTGTACCTTTCCTGGATGCTGTTGTTTTTTCTCCTGTAAAAGCCTAATCTAATGGTATCCCAGAACTGGTCAATCTTAGGACAAGAAGCTCCTCCAGAAAGAAAGAAAAGAAAAAAGGGGCCAGCAGAGCGACCCCTGCCAGTCAGCGCCTGTCAGGAAGACTGAATTCATTTTTCTTAAAACTGCTCTGAAACATTCCAGTAAGATCTTCATTTTGTAAGTAGAGCGATCCCCGCCCCCAAAGTTGTATGACTTGTCTCTTCATTAGGAGAGAGTGAAAATTATAATCTGTCACTATTCTCCTAAATGAACCTCATCTTCTGCTAGCAACAGAAAAAAAAAAAAGTACACGCGTTTATACACAGGCACACTGTGTCCTAGTGGTAAAGAGATGCGTATGTGCACACATATATTACATAAAAATATAATATTTTCATGTGGCCATATGTTTTGTTGTCTACCTTCTGGATACTTACCATCACAGACCAACCCCGTCCCTGATACTGAAGAAGTTCATAAATTAAAAATTACACCAGAGAGTTTGCTTTCCCTTTCCAGTGAGGCACAGTGAACCTATTACAGGAACATGGAGCACACACAGAAATGAGCAATCCGACTGGCCAGTGGCAAGTGAAAACCAATGAGTGCTTCCGAGCACCTTGTAATGCGACACGTGGCTGGGAGGGAGAGCACAGCCCACATACGCCCCCCCAGGAGACAAGGTTTACGTTAGAAAGCACAGATCCCAGAGATGGTTTCTCCAGAGGAAACCAGACCGAGTGAAAGTAAAGAGGCTAAAGTGCAGGGCAGTGGAGGCAGGTAGAGGAACTCCCTCGGCAGGGAGAGCCGCCAGTGGAGCACCTACTGTGTGCCTGGCACTGTACCAGGGCAGAGAGGAGGGAGGATTGCCAGCTGCCCAGGCTAGTGACCGGGAGGCCACGCAAATGCCTCTGCACCCCGGGGGGCTTGGAGAGAACAGGCCCAAGGGGCTGGGGAAGGGGTCGGTGCCCACGTAGAGGTAATGGATGAGAATGATGGGCCAGAAAGACTGCAGAAAAGGTGGAATGCAACAAGCTTTGTAAGATTAGTGAGGCCACACCGAGCACCCTGGGTGGGAAGGGGAGAAAAGAAGAAGATTCATGATCAGGAAAAAAGTGCATGAAGGCGTGGGCTGTGAGTGCTGAGGCGCTGTGGCTTGGCAAGAAGGCCAGGGGGACGTGAGGGGAGTGGGGTGGACGCCTGGACGGGAGAGGCAGTTCTCAAGAGCACATGCCCGAGCGTCTCCTGGGGATGTCAGTGCTGACTTCTCAAATGTTGAGTGCCATGGTCAAGTGAGTCTGAAACGCTCCATTAAAAGGCCTCTCAAATGCAGGAAATGACGGGCTCTCTAATGGCTCCAGTATATGCGATTCCATAAAACACAGGGCATACTGCAGACATGTCTGACCTCAGAAGCTCTCTGCCGTGGAACCATCTAGAGAAGCCAGTGTGCTTTCTACTCACGGACGTTATGGGAGGAGACAGGAGACTTGAACAATACTAAGTGGGTAAAAGATTGGAGCAAACAGGCTCTTTCTGAGTAAAAGTCATGACGTATTAATTAACCACACTAACTCAGTAAAATGCTTACTTGACACCAGTATACCCCTCTGGAAACCTTCATACAATGTTCTGACGTCGTCGTAGAAATACACCAGGGTCTCGTCACTGGTGAGAATCGCTGACCTCCGGGCTCCTCCACTACCCTGTGGAAAAAAGACAGACAGACACATTAGGTGAAGGCAGTAAAACACAAGGCCTGCGGCGGCCGGGGAGCAGCTGCTCTCTGAGCGTTTGCTGAAGGAACCGCTGTACAGGGTTTGCTGTGTGCAATTATACATCGTTCACTTGGGAACAAGAGCGGCTTCAGAGAAACAAGGTTATGACCGTGGCAGTCAGATCCCTGGGGAGAGGGAACACTTGAGAGGAAAAGATATGAGGTGCACAGACCTATAAGCACAGGTCCTGCCAGACAGGCCAGACTGGGCAGGAGGGGCAGGGCCCTGGCAGGGGCGCAGGCACAGTAGGTCTCCCACGTGGCATCTGCGGCACAGGGGAGGGTCTTAGGTCCACTCCTGTGGAGATGGCAGCCATCTGGCTTGACTTCCATCTTGTACTCTGTTCTTTTTATGATATCATCTTCACCGTTTCCTCTCTGTGCCACCTGCTCTGGAATCTAGATGTAACATCAGCTTCCCATGGAGCAGCTAATCCTTACAGTTACTGGCTACAAAGTGTGTACATGTTACTGACATACCCTGGCAAGTTCGGTCTGTGGCACTCAGAGGGCGGTGGGGTCGCCCGGCACCCTCCCCTAAGCTGGCTCACCTGGGGCTCAGGGGCCCACCTGCTACGCGGAGGTGTGCTCCGGTCATGAAGACACAGTGCCCAGATGCCTGGAGTGGCGGGAGTCCTCTTAAGAGGGCCGCGTCTCAACCTGTGAGCTTCTGGAGCCAGAGATAACGCAAGGGGCCCAGACATAGAGAAACCCCAAGCGCATGGGAAGCCCAACCTACATGATGCCAGAGTGTTCTTCGCATTTGCAAAGGGCAGTGTTCCTCTTTCTTGGGGGAAATTAAACAATGGTGCAAGGGCTTCTGGTCCCCAAGGCAGGCCTGTTCACAGGTGGGAGAGAGCATTTGTGGCCTGAAGTCTTATGGCAGAAAACAGGAAAGCTGCTGTGGAGAGCGCCGAAGGACGGGGCCTGAGAGAATGGACAGCATCAGCCGCACAGCTGCAGGGTGTGTTCCAGCGACTCCTGTTTTAAGATGGGCCCTGCCAGGTACGTTTCAATGGATTCGTTTTCCTCTTCTCTGCCACATTAGGACTCCTCGTTCCCACCACAGGCTCTTTCCTTCCTCTCCTGCATTACCGTCACTTACTTTACAATGTTCAGGAGCACAGGAGGACATCAGGGTGGGGAATGACAAGCCTCGTGAACACTCTGGTGTGTATCCAGGCTGATATATCTGTATGCACGCTTTCCACAGTCACAATCTGCTGGGGATGTGTTAAACTCCTGATCTAAAACTGTGGATTGCTTCCCGCATTATGTGTCGGCCAGTCCTCTATTCTAATCACCACCCAGTCTTCTCTGACCTGGGAGAAACTTTCTAGTACCTTAAGTCACGAGTTCAAGCATAGCTACCAGCTACCACAGCCTACTTCACAATGCAGTCTGCGGTGCATGCGTGACGACGGGAAACCTTCCCACGTCAGAGTCGTGCATTGTTGTGACGTGAAGCTGAGTCTGCTTTCTTCCCAGTAACATGGGGCAAGCGGGGGTGTACTTCCAGAGCGACTTTTAGAGAAACAAGGAATTTCCTGTAAGGAATTGTGGCTTTTTAGTAAGCATCGGATTTCAACCCAAGAAGTCACACAAAAGACGCAGGGCACATCATGGCTCAGGGAGGAAGAGAAAGGGGCCGGGGCTAGTGTGACAAACATGGACGGAGTGAAGAAGCTGCGAGAGTAAGAGGTGCGTCCGGCGGAGGGTGGAGGGGAGGCTCTGCTGCAGCAGCTGCCTGCAGTGGCCCAGCCACGGGCCTGTCAGCTCAGCAGCACAGGCAGCTGGCCTCGGGAGACCTCACAGCAGGAAGGGATGATGGTGCCTCTCCACCTCTCCTCACTCACTCGGTGTCGGCATTTCTCAGGGCTACCTCCACCAAGGTGATTCTTCCTCCCCAGTTCCCACCGTCAATGGGGCAGATGTAAATCCAGCAAGTCCCACGTGGAGCTTGTTCTGAAGGAGTCTGACTGGTATCTTTGCATGGCCCAAGTGACTCAGGGAGCACTGACTAGGCAGAAATGCACGAAGGGAGTCAGAGTGGACAGACAGGAGGCAGGCCTGGAATCTCAGAAGCAGCACCCTGACTTAAGGTCTGAAAAAGGGCGGTCTGGAGAGCGCCTGGCCCAGGTGAGGAAAGCAAATTAGCTAGTCCCGTGCCAGACCTGCTGAATGGACGCTCTGTGGGAAGGCGTGGTGGGCTGGGAACAGCTAGCCATCTCTGTTTCAGCAGCCCCTTTGGGATTCTGTGCCCAGGGAAGTGGCAAAGGCTGTGGTGATGCTTGAGAAAGAAATCTCTGAGGCCCTCCCTGGTGGCTCAACAGGTTAGGACATAGCACAGCAAGATGGCCACAGCCACTTCAGTGAGAGTTCCATCCCTGCCCCAGAGGTGACCACATGGCACTGCAGACCTCTTCTGACTCACCCACTGCTCCCCTCAGCAATGTACTTCGTCATTCAGCCTGTTCTGCTCCCCGCTCTGTCTCTGGTGAAGCCTCTCACGCCCCTGCACCTCTGGCCTGCACTCCATAAATGCATAAATAAATAGGTAAATCCTTAAAAAAGAAAGAAAGAAATCTCTGAGTGTTAACCCTATCCAGAATAGGATGGAGCAGGGAAGAGGCTCCAGAGAAACCAACTAACTACAGCAAGTCCTTGAATAATGTCTTTTAGCCAATGTCATTTATTATAACATCAATAGATAAAAAATCACCTCCCAGAGGGATCTTCCGTGTGTATGGAGTCCCTATACCCTGTCACAGGGCTGCTTCCCACCTCACACTCGGAGCTGGGAGCTACATTTGAATGAGTGGCTGAACACCACTGACTGCTAATACTTAAAAGTATGTGGGCCTTTATTTAGAAGGCTGGCGATTTTGTGACCATAGGGTCTTAACTCGTGTTTATATCAATTAGCCTATGGTAACTTGGCTTCACTTGATGTCATTTCACCTAACGGTGCACTATCCAAGAACCTAGGGATGACGGTCAGCGAGGACATACTGTGCGTGGGCCTGGATTAGGCCTCGTCAGTGGGAATGAGAAGACTGGCGATGGCGAAGCACCTCAGTGCTAATGAATGGAATCAGGTCACTCACTGGGGGTAGAAGGAAAGAGGGGCTGAGTCAGGGGGCTGACAAGACGGAGCTTCCATTTTATCAAAAAGAGGAGAATTGTGAGATTTGAGAACGACGCTGAGCTTCTCATTGGCTATATGGTGGCCACAGCCCTTCAAGACAGGACGTCATCTTTCTGAAAACCTATTGTGAGAATCACTGCTTTAGAATGTAATTTTATAACAAGTTATGGCGAGGTGATTCTTGGGTCAGGTTCATTTTTGGTGCTATATAATCTTCAGGACTTTGAGAAGCATAGAGGTAAAACAACCATAACCAAATGAAAGATGTTACTTACATCCCAAATAAAGGCATTATGTTGACAAAGTAACCAGAGGACAAGATGCTTGTTATTATGATAATTAGCAATTAGAGTGATTAGCAAAAAATTTGAAGATGACGTAGTGAATGCGTTCTGTGCCCAAAAGCCACACTCATTTAAGGCATAGATAATACTGGGTAAAAAAAAAAAAAAAAAAGGTCACATTGCACTTACTTGTAAGCCACACTCCATAAATTCAAGGAGTGAAGTTATGGGGATGGGGCACTAAACAGTAAAATTTATTCTTGGAAATCTGTTGCTTCATGGAAGGATCGCAAGTTCCCTAAAGAATCACTACTTCTGATGAGCATACACGTTATCATTCATCTGTCAAAACTGGGTGTCAGTAACCTCAGTTGTCCCTCTGAAGCCTGGTGAGGATTTCATGTAACCCCTGGAGCTCAAAATGTCTGCAGGTGATACAAAATCCAGCCATTTCAAAAAGCTGGGGATTAAATAAGTGGGTTAGTGAAGTATATGTGGCTAATTCTAGCAACACCAATTTCAATGAAAAAATACTAAATTTGGCCTTCTGACATAACCTACAATTGGGGGCCGGAGGTGGGGATTTCCACAGCCCTGAAGAAACAGGTAGTGGGAAGCTGGCACACCCCCACCCCCACTCCAGCAGGAAATCAGTCATTAAGGTTATGAGTCAGGATGGGCAATGGGCCTTTTATCTCGTTGATTGGAGATTTCTTTAATGTGGCTAGTTCTCGGTTTAAAAAAACAAAGGATTGTGAGTCAAACACATTACAGTCAAATCAGTGGTCACGAGTATATTCTGCAACGTCTATAGAAGCCAAGGTTCCTCTTGAAGTCATTCTCCCTGTGAGGGCTGAATTAGGAAATAGAAGTTCGAGTGCCATTTGGGGGGCAGAGCAAGGGCCCATGTGTACCCATCAGTGATTTCCAGGACCAGACCTCTTGGCCACATTTGCCAAAAAGGAACCCAGGAAGGCGATGAAGTTTGTGCCATCCCGTTATTTACATGCAAAAGCAAACGACATCTTCGAGAATTTCCCAGGGGGTACAGAGACCAAAGCCTGATCAATGGTGGGTCATTCTGCCCAATCTACAAAAAAAAAACAGCATCTCTGGTCACAACAGTCAAACACCCATTGTGTTCCCCTGGCTTATTCCCTCCAAGGAGATGAATGGAGAAAGGGGGAGGGGAGGGCAGGAAGAGGAAGGGAGGCAAGAGAGAAAGGGAGGAGAACCAAGTAATTTCTCAAGAGATCTGCAGACTGGGCTGGATTTGATGTTAAAGCCATCCGCAGGGACAAAAGCAGCAGGTGGAAGCACAGTCCTCGGGGTTAAACGTGACTTTTTGCTTATTCTAGCACCTCCCTTGTAAAATATACTCCTCCAAGCATTCGCATGTTACGTGCATCTTATCCTGCCCAGACCACCTCACCTGCTTTTTTAATCAACAGGCACAGGAACTACATTCCCAGCCAGTGCCCTCAAGAGAGCCCCTTC